TCAATAGTTTTTATCCTTTCCTCCCCATTTCATTTTAGTTTTTTTTTCTTTCATACACCATAACAATTTCAATCGATTGTTCTATTTGCTGTTCAATTAGAAAATTAACCTTATGCCAATTTCTTTAGTTGCTATGGCATTCATTGCATAAACATGCTCTCGTTTTCCTGAAATGACTTGGATTGGACATGGCCGTTGCAGTTTCGTAAAACGCTTTGCCAACAACTTACAAAGCGAATAACTCTTAACAATACTAACGAAGCTCAGTTCAGATACAACACCAAACAGGGTGCAAAACCATTCCCTCGTTGGAAACAACTGAAAGCTTTGAAAATCAGTATTTGAAGGCAGAGTTTTTATTTCGATTCGATTATTAATAGCAGGCTGATAAAAATATGAAACAATCTTTAAATGGCGAGTAAAAATACTACTTAAGCTTGGTTTGAACTGATACAAAGCTATAGAAGTTGAAGATGTCCTGTTGAGTGGTCACTGAGGTCACCAGATTTTTGTTTCTGTGGGGCCATTAAAAATGAATTGTTTATCAGACGGGCCCAAGAAATATTAAGGAAATAACTTAAACAAGAATTAAAATATGAATGCTGTCAAATGACAGGGGAAACTCTCTGACGTGTTAATGAATCATGTAGGCACAGAAGTGATTTTTTTCTTTTTGTGATGTCAACGAACGCTTGTTGCCATTTTTGTAATGTCAATGAATACTCATTGTCAGTTTTGTAATTCTCGCTTTAGTAGTGACTATGTAATTGCAGATACAACTATATTAACACCGTTGAACAATACTGGTGTCAGACACCTTCGTATAACACTCACACTAATAATACTTGCTTAATAATACTCACTCAAATAGTATTATCTTTATCATTTCTGAAATGACTTGGATTGGACATGGCCGTCGCAATTTCGTAAAATGCTTTGCAAACAATGTACAAAGCGAAAATCTCTTAACAATATTAAAAACAAGAATTAAATATGAATGCCGTCAAATGACAGAGGAAACTCTCCAACGTGTTAATGAATCATGTAGGCACAGAAATGAAATGTTTTTTTTTTTTTAAGGGAGGACATTTTCAACAGCACATATGTCAGTTAAATAACTAGTAAATAAAATTTCATATGTAATTATATTTTAATATATTATCCCTATGTTGCGTGACTTTTGCCTCACCTTGTATACAAGAATTGTTCTGCAGGAGAATTTTTTTTTAACTGTTGTCGTTCTTTTCTTACCGTCAAGCTTAGAGAGACACTGAATTAAAACTATTGGAAAGAAAATATTTAAGAAATGTTTGGAAATACTCTCTAATAGGATACTCTCTAATAGGATACTCTCTAATAGGATACTCTCTTTCTTTCTCTCGCTGTGATTTCTTCTCCCAAGGGCGTGAGTCTCCACTGCTTCCTTTCTTTTATTGCCTTTTCTTTTTTTAAAATAATTCTCACCTTTTACAAGGTACAAGAGACACTCGAGGTAGAGAGTTAAAAAGTAAGAGGTACAGTCTTCTGTGGATATGTAGGAAATAAAACAATTAACTCAAAATATGAACATGTTAAGATTGTAATGATAGAGGAAGCATCCTCACGAGAGTTAGTTCCAGAAAAATGCTCGAGTGGAACTTACATCTCACCAATGGAATAGAAAGGAATGAAGGTGATTCGCTCAAATGTGCGTTAATCGTGAAGGATAGAACTTGTGGAACTAAGGAATGTTGTTTGTCTGAACACCATCCATGGAAATAGAGATAGGCGTGTTTTGTCTGTGGGAAAGTGGTTATAAATAGAAAATAATGCATGACCCACAAGGACGCGGATACATTTTCAAGCACTGGAAATTGAAAAATAGAAAGCCCCTGCCCATATATGACAGCAGTACTCCATTTTAGCCCTGATCTGGCGCTTGAAGAGGGCGGGGATATTGCATGGCGTGTCAAATACTTACTAGAGTGATACAAGTAATCAACCATTTTCCCAGCATATTTAGTACCGATGGACCGTATACACGACTTCCTTTTGAGATCTTAAATCCCAACAAGCACTCAAGACATGGCCCCGCCCTGAGAGTACACCCGTCCATCGCGATAGGTAAAACTCAGTGTTCGCTCGGTGATAATGAAATTTCACTAGTTTGGTTTTCGGGCAATTGAATGTGACCAGCTAATTTTTACCCGCCATTGAGCTGTTAAAGTTCGGTCAGTGGAGAGATCAAATGTCAGGCTCTGATCATCTAAATTTATGGAAGTGCACCCCCTACACCATTTAATCATCATCACAGATATTCACATTCGCTATCAGCAACTGTGAATATCACGGATCTTATTTAACATAAACACTGAGACGATCATAAAGACACTGGAAGATCTATCACGATGTATTATCTACGGATCTAATTTTAACAATATAAGATACGCGAATGACACTGAGCTGATTACACATTCAAAAGAGAAACTGAAAACTCATAAATAAGGCAGTAAAGGAATGCAAAAATGACTTTAAAAGGAACTGTAATAATACAGAATGCATTACATGTTTATCAGCAAAAGATACAATCTAGGGGGTCAAATCATTGACACATCAAAGTCTTGCAGGTAGAGAAATTTAACAGTCCCCATACAGTGTTGATTAGTAAGTTCTCACTGTCTGTATTCATAAATTTTCTATTTGATACCCAACATTCTTCCTTATAAGTACAACAAATTTTAAATTTCTGGAGGTATGTAGTGAAATTATCAAGAATATATATACAGGCCTTGTTAATGTTTCGAATTTTTTTCTTGTCTTTAGTCGTTTTCAGGAATTAAAATTCTGTACTAAGAATTCTATGGAAGGAGAATGTAAGCAACGAGGAAGTCTTAGAGCAAATGAAAACTAAAAGCACACTTATATAAAGAATCGGGAAGAAAAACTGAAAGTCCTTGGACACATAAGGAGAAAGGAAGGCCTTGGGAAAAAGTTAATCCTTACAGGCCATATTGCGGGCAAGAGAGATAGGTGAAGTTAGTGAGCTACCTACTCGACTAGCTTGTGTGAATGAATAGAGGACAGATTAAGGAAAGGAAGAAAAACCTGCTATTGGCCACAATAGATAGGAAGTTTTTGAGGGCCCTGATCATCCATGTCCTAAAAGGACGCGGCATATAGAAGAAGAAGAAGAAAAAGAAGAAGAAGAAGAAAAAGATGCCTTTATATTTTCACTATGACTTACTTTTTAATTTGCATGAATCCATTTTCACGTGACATCACATGCATTTAAATTTAAAGAAATAATATCGGATCCAGGTGATATTAAATACATTAGTCTTTTAAACATATTTAAAGTGTCATATTTAAAATAAAAGTTACAAAAGGTTTTAATTTCTAATAAAGATTAAAAATAGGTGAAATCTCGAAATGCATAACAAATATAACAGAGAAAACTTCGAAGTGGTGTAAGGATTAACAATCTTGTCTCGCTAGATTAATTATGACTGAGTAGTGAGTTCGATCCTTACTTGGTGCTCCACACATGTCCCACATCTAAACTAAGCTTAGAAAATCATTGGGCACATCGACGAAGTGTAAGGGTTAGCAAGATTGTTTTGTTAGATTAACTCATTAACTGCCAATTTTTTAATGCGCATTTTTGGCCCACACAGTTTTCTTAGGAGTTTATTTATTCCTTATGTTTAATTTCAGTAGTTACCATTGTCGTTTTTATAGAAATTAGAACATCAAATATATATGTATATAAAACATCAAAAAAATAATATTGATTAGAAATAATAAAAAATACTTTTCAAAATAGTCATTATTTTTCTACTCCTGAAATATAAAATTACGACAGTAAGCGTCTTCTTACGGTTAATAATAAAAACATTAAAGGCAAATATACCTCTGCAAATGCGATGTATGTAAGCAATTTAATGTAAATACAAGGAATAACATGTAGTGCGTTTAACAGATATCCAAATAGGACTCATGGCAGGTACTGGGTTAATTACGACTAAGTAGTGAGTTCGATCCTCACGCGCTGCTCCACACTTTCGACTATGTACCACAACGAAGCTACGCTTAGAAAGTTACCACCATAATATATGTAACAGCTCATCCATACTAAATTCATTTCTAAAATACTGACATAATTAATCCATCAAGTAAAAAATCATAATTTAAAATGAAATATAAAATCTAACTTATGTGAAAAGATCAAAAGTTGTAACAGCAAAAATCTTCATCAATCAAAACATAGATGATACTAGGATCAGGAAGGGAGAACTTGGTACAACTGCTGATGACAAATAGTTGGAAAGAAGTCAAAAGTCTTCTATTGGGTACAGTAAGTTATATATATATATATATATATATATATATATATATATATATATATATATATATATATATATATATATATATATATAATCGACTATCCCGTCGAGATTCGACGTATGAGGGTCAAGCAGATCAGTTTCCAGGAAACCGACATCCCGACACCGGCACATGAGTTTTGATTATAGTGGTGAAGGACCATCCACACTTTTTGAAAGGGACGAATGCAGAGACCTGATGCACCGAATGCCACAAGGTTCCGAAACGCAGATATTGAATTCAGAATTGTCCTTCTCCTAGACCAGTTGCCATCCAAGGCTATATAACCCAGTCTGTCCTGCTATTTTACCCATAGCTGGAGGGATAGGAAGAGGATACATACCTTTCCCAAGGGTATTAGCACGTAAGTGAATGTAACGGATTCGACTGGAATTCGAACTCGTCTCTCCGATTCCTTAATCCAAGCCGCTATCCATTACTCCACCGTGCCTCCCCCTCTCTCTCTCTCTCTCTCTCTCTCTCTCTCTCTCTATATATATATATATATATATATATATATGTGTGTGTGTGTGTGTGTGTGTGTGTGTGTGTGTGTATGTGTGTGTGTGTGTGGTGTATTCATACATACATACATACACACATATATAAGATAGATACATACATACATACATACACACATATATAAGATAGATAGATAGATAGATAGATAGATAGATAGATAGATAGAGAAAGAAATAGCGAGACAGATTTTCAAATATAATAGGAATAACTGAGGAGACTACAGGTAAAACTGAACGATTTTCCTACGAACTCGCGGGATTTAAATCCATCTGAACGCTTACCTTATGGATTTAAACGTAAAGTAAAAACCAATAAATACAAATTTTAAGGACTGTCAGAGTTCAGAAACTTTTCAGCGACTGTGTAAACCAAGTAAAGTCATTGCAATCAATATTACAAGCAGGAATAAAAAGTAAAGGCAGTCACACCAAAATAAGTAACTTCTTTCTCAGAGATGTAATTATTTATGGACGGAAACATATTCGTAATTCTATTTAATACAATAAGCGTGCATGAAATTATCAGATACTTTTTTGGTTTAGTTTTTTAATATTCTGTCCGATTAACTCTCTGCATAGAGAATGAAAGTAAATTAATATTGTCACATTCACTCAGCATATTTCTTAATCAATAAAATAGCTCATGTCAACTTTAAGCTTCCAAGTAAAAATAGTTTATACTGCTTGTAATAATATATTAATTTCAATCTCTCCATAAATTCAGATCTCTCTTGCCCATTGGCAATATTTGGAGTTCTCCAATTTCATATCTTGGTTTGTAGCCATATCGTTAATACCTGTCTATATCTCTGAGATGAAGTATTATGATTACTTACATAATTTACATTATTCGGACTGTTATCTTCATCTTCATTGCCATATTCACAACGTTTCGGCCGTTGTATGCTCCGGCTTTCTTTGAGTGATTAGAATTTCGAATCGAACCCTTTATTTCCTCCTTGTACTATGTCTCTTCCGGATGTCTCAGTTATTTCCCATTTAACTCAACTCTCCAAAATTTGGTTCACATTGAACTAACAACTCTTTGCGTCTATTCACTGGATCTAACGAACGTCTTTATCCACTAGGCCCTGTATCCTTGAGGACATCTATTTAGGAATTTTGGGGACTTATAAACCTAATGTCTTAGAAATCATTTTTTACCAGTGCTCATATTGCAATTTATTCTGTTATTATTATTTCATTTTTACCAGAGCTTTTATTGCAATTTTTGTCTTGTTATTCGCTGCTTTTCTCTATAACTACTTATAACTGTTTCCTATATAGTATTCATTTCTATGCTTATTCGGCTCAAGAGATTTTGTAGCCTAGAATATTTGCTGATACCGTAAGTTTAATAGGTCTTTCTTAGCCTGTCGGAACTCCCAATCTTTAACGAAAAAGGAAGGTGTTCATTTCGACAGCTACTGCCCAAGTAACAAAAGCCGACTTAATTTTAGCCGGCCACGCGCATCCAAAAAATAAAATAAAAGTCATAAATACTTTTCTATTTAGTATGAATAGACCTACGCAACCTCAGCCATCATTTCATTTCCAAGCCACTCCAACACTATAAAAACGGCCATCAATTCGACACTAAGGTAAAAGTATAACCCAAGCTAACACGCTAAAGCCGGCTCATGACCAACGAAGACAACCAGGAGTCCGACATAAAGAGAAGTCACCGAGGCCATAGATCTATTAAAAAATATCTTCCTATTATGCAATAAAACTCCCACACGTGTATATTTTTCACACGTAAATTTCATAGCAGACACGGAAAGAAAATTACAAAACCTCCTACAGAAGGTAGCGAAGGAGAGCGCGAAGAAGGGACTAAGCATAAACTACAAGAAGACAGAATGTATGATCGTCATTGCGAAATGCGATTTACAGGTCGCGGTCACTAAAATCAAGCCGTTGAGGAAATTTAAATATCTGGAAAGTGTTTTGACAGACGATGATAAGTGCAACGCTGAGATCCGAAGACGTATTAGGATGACCAAAGACGCATTCCAAATGCTAGGCAGAGTATTAAGAGATAGGAGGATTTAGTTGGTAACAAAGAAAAAAAAGTACTGAACTGCTACGGGATATTTGTCCTCCTTTACGGCATCGAATGTTGGGCGGTCTCCTGAAAGATGAAGAAGAGAATCGAGACAAGGGAGGCATGGTTCTACAGAAGGATGCTAAAGATATCATGGACAGAAGATGTGAGAAACGATGAGGTTCTGGAGAGGATGCAAACAAGGAGGAAGCTTATACTTAACATCAGGTAGAGGCAGCTGAAATTTCTGGGACACGTAAAGAGAAAAGAAAGGCTTGGAGTATCTGATACTCAAAAGGCGGATAGAGGGAAAAAGAGACAACGGAAAGCAACGCGTGACATAACTAGCGGTCTTAAGCAAATGGATGAAAGAACAGGTTTTGGAAGAAGTAGCAAATGGATAAAACATATTGCAAACTACAAGGAATAGGGAGAGCCATGATTGCCTACGTCCTGAAGGGACACAGCACATAAAAGAAGAAGAATCTTTCTCAACAATTACGATGCAATCCCAACTTCTATATATAAGGTAGAATCTTGAGACGGACCCTCAAATCATATATATATATATATATATATATATATATATATATATATTGTTTTTTTTTTATAATGATGTTCACACTGGGAGCCATTCGAGTGTTACAGAGTAAAAGGCATAGTTTATGCGGATATGTGAGAAAGATAACGGTTAACTCTAAAGAAGAAAAGGTTAAGATTGTAGTGTTCAGGGAAGCATCCTCTTGGTAGTCACTTGCGGTAGAGGTTTCCGACTATGAGGCACAGTTTATGCGGATATGTGAGAAAGATAACGTTTAACCCTAGACTCGAATACATTAAGATTATAGTCATCAGGCAAAGATCCTCTTGGGAATGGGTTCCACAGAGATGCGCTTCGTCGGAAGAAGCTTATCGAGTGGAACTTACGTTTCACTAATGGAATACAAAGTGAATGACTGTGGTTCACTACAATGTGCGTGCCATGGTGTGTCTTAGCGGTTGTTGGAAGTAGTTCGCCTGAACATTTCCTATGGAAATAGAAATAGAGCAGTCAGCGGTTTGCAACGTTTAGTCTGAGGGGAAGGGAGTATAGAACAGAAAATAATTTGTCACTCGCAAGGACGCTATATCGTGACTAGAAAATACAAACTGGATAGCACCTGCTTATATATGGCAGTTGTACCCCATTTTTGATCTGATAGGCTCTTTTTAAGAGCAGAAGATATCAAGAGGAGTCAGGTACTGGTCTGAGGCGAAAAAGTAAATAAATCCTTCTTTTCGTTTTATGGACACCTCATCTTTGTTTTCGTTTGTTAACTTTCATTCATTTTTTGTTAGCTTGAGGTATGGTAATCAAGGCGATGCAATCGAACAAGACACTTTTATATTCACCCGTACTCTCATCTCCGTAACACATTTCATATTTTTATTTTTTCCATCACCCAAAATAAGAAAGAAACTTTAGTTTAATTAAGTCTGTTACGACCGCTTTTTTTTTCGAATCCTCTGGCAACAGATATGGTATTTATTATCTTCTTCTTCTTCTTCGTCTTCTTCTTCTTCTTCTTCTTCTTCTTCTTCTATATGCCGTGTCCCTTCAGGGCGTGGGCGATCAGGCACAACTTCCTGTTCTTTGTAGCCCTTAGTAAGTTTTGTCTTTTTATTATCTCTCCTAATCCCTGTTCTGCCGACCATTTACACAGACTCGTGTAAATGGTTAGCAGAACAGGAAAACAGGTAGTTTATGCGCTGTTTTCCTTTGTTTTTGGTTCTTTTTTTACCTTGAGTATGACCTGCGAGTGTCAAATTCACTAAGCCCTCATTTTTCATTATATTGTAATTGTCTATTTCTGAAGTAAAAGTCTTCTATTTGTTTCCAATTTCCCCAAAACTTCCACGTTTCTCAAATGTTCAGTCAATATGATTCTCGGCATCTTTCTGTAGAATCAGATTTGATTTGCGTCAAGTGTCTTCTTCTCTTCTTCATCTGTGAAGAGATTGCCCACTATTCACTAACATATGGGAAGGACCGATATATCATAACATTTCAGTACGCATATCTTTGTTTCGAACGAAATTTGCCTATTTCGTAATGCTTAGCTTTTGGAAGGTAGCGTTCGCTACTAAAATGCTCATTAGTATTTAACTGTGGCACGTTCGATCCTCTGTTAAAATACTTCCAAGGTAGTTAAATAGTTGTCATTGATTCTGGTGTCTCGACTTTGTACTTCACATCTTGGGCTGGTTTTGCCAACAATCCTCTTACAATTAATGTATAGTACTTCATCCTAGCTATCCTTTAATACCTTCTGTAGAAATTTCTGTAGTTTTCTTTCTCTGTCAACTATCAACACCGTGTCATCGGCATATCATACCTTTGTGCAAATTAATTGAAACAACCGCTTTAGTTTTCCTTTATTTCACCATATGGTCAGTTTACAGGGTGTAATAGATTTCTACTTTTCCTTCAGGTCATTAGCAGTGGTGTGCAGTAATATGAATCTATTTCTGGGTGTATGATGAAATTTGTTTGGCCTTGAAAAATACTACGTCATCCGTCATTGGATCAAATTTTTATCACACCCAGATACTATTTTTTTGATTGTCGATTAGTTGTCCTACGGCCATTGTCTGCGATGGACGTTACTCCAAGGAAGCGTTCGAAAATTGTAACGCTGCACAAACACACAAGCAAGCCTTACCAGTGAGCAAATGAATGTACTATCGACTGGCTCGGAAAGTTTCTTGATTTAAATCCAATCGAGTATCTGTTGTCAATCTGCAAAGAACGACTTTGTGGAATGGACATACGAAGTGCTTACATGTGCACACTTGGCCATGTTTCATTAGAAAAAAAAACGAAAAAATAGTAAATAATAACGGAATTATTTGTTTTGTTTCAATTAATTTGCACAAGGGTGTATATTGTTAAGCTTGTGGCCTTCAATAATTAATCTTGCTAGGACTTGTAATTCTCTCAGGCTGGCTTCATTGTAAAGGCTGAAGAAGACACAAGCTTGTTTAACTCTCGTTTCTAAAATTTGTATTTACTTCATTCATTTTCTCTCTGTATGTAGGCGGTGTCTCCCAGTATGGATTTCTAATATCGTTCTCAAATTAGTCAAGCGTAGTTAATTTTAACGCCTCTAAAATGAAACTGCTCTCAATTAATCATCTGAGAGACTCCTTTCTCTCTTCAATCAGTATAGCTGATGTTATCATCCAGGTGAGTGACTCATTTCCTAGGCTAGCGTTCTCGGTTGATATGAAGTGGAAAGATTATATTGTTTCAATATCAAGCTAGGTCTGATGTTAGAAAAATTGGTTCTCTGTGTCATACTATACAATTATTTTCTGTATCTTACATATTTATGAGTCTCTCATTTGTCCATGCTTTGAATATTGCTCTCATATTACAGCACGGTCTGATGATCCTGCTTTATATTTAGATATTCTTGATAAAATCCAAAGAGGAATCAGCAATGTTGTTGGTCTGGAATGGCATTTCAGCTCCAGTTTATGTCAATTGTTCTGGTGAGCTTTCCTCGATGGTACTGAGACTATGAGTAGAAGAAAAAAGTTGGTTGGAAAATATGAAGCCGGAAGACAGTTCCACAAGTGAGAGATTCAAGAAAAGGACTCTTCCGGTTACATCTCGTCATTTCAACTGTAAATTAATGAGACTTTGTTGCCAGTCTAGTATTGCACTCTTCCGGCTTCATATTTTCCAATTAACTTTTTTCTTCAAAAATTTAAATGCAATATCATTCATTATCTACTGTCTCATTGATTGCTCTTCTTTTATTGTTCTTGACCCTTAACCCTTTGCCTGTCCAAAGCATTTTCGTGTGTACTATCAAAACGTCCATTTCAGATTTATAACTATGTCACATAATAGAAATGTACAAATCATAAGTTATTTACACTACTAGGTTTTTATTATGAGAAACACTATGTGTTAGTGCATTCTATTTGCGGAATAAACGAAGTTGCCTTGCAACAGTTATAAATCTAAAAACAGGCAAATGTCCTGTGGTTATATATGATGCACAAAACTTTTAGATTAGGCCTTTCCTCAGATGTCCTGCTTAATAGTAGACTTAGTTTTACCACTCATTGAAAATCATGGCTAGTGTAAACCACATATGACACACGGACGTAGAAATCACATATCATGTGCATCCCATATGATGCGCAGGACAGGCAAATAATGTTTCTCTTTTTTCTTAGTCCTTCTTGTGTCATAATGGCTTTATTGCTTAGTTTGAGGTGAAATGATTAAAAACATTCGAACGTCGTACTTCATCAAACACTTTTGCATAATCTCTAATACATCTTATGCTTTTGTAAAGCTCTTATATTTTTGTTAGCATAATCGCTTTGCATCAAAATTTAGGAGACTTTTCCGTTTCATATTTCTCAGTCGATAATCTGTTTACTTTACGAATATTAATACCACACAATGACCAAGATTGGCATTCATCCAGATGCAATGCTCGATAACAGATTCTGCTTCTACGTTTGACGGAAACAAATATTAAATTATTCTATCTCGTTATTTTGCGTAAAATACACCAAGCTATCCATCAGCAATTACAAATTCTGATCCAATATTTGTTGCCATAGTTACAAAAAATATTATTATTA